AGGGCTTCCCCGGGGCCGGGGGCGGGCACCCACCGCCGGCTGTGCCGGTACCGGTGCGTCTCCGCCTCCCGTAACCCCCTCGGTGCCGGCTGCGCGGAAGGCAGAGGCCGGTTCCCGGGGAGTTGAGGGGCCGGGGTTGCCCCCACTCGTGGCCTTCCCTCGGACACGGTGCTCACTCCATCCTCATCCTCACCCTCACCCCCTCCTCTGGCAGCTCGCAGCTGCACCCCATGGGGACCCCCGTGTCTCGAAGCACCTGCCTGCCGCCTCGCGGGGGGCCAGGGACCCCAACCCCAGGGGATGAACCCCCACACACCCTGCCAGCCTGCCCTTCGCCCAGCTCTCTCTGAGGGGGGTCACAGCCACCCTACAACAGCCCCCCAGGGGAGCTGAGAAACCCAAACTTCTTCCCTTTGCCTACGCCACCCAAACCTGCTCAGAAAGTTCCCCCTCCTCTCCCCCCCGTTGCAGCTGCCACCTGCTCCCCTCCCACAGCCCTGGCTCTGGGAAATCCGCAGGTCAGAGCTGGTGGAGATGCTGGACCCCGCTGCGAGGAGCTCTCCCCAATACCCGGGGGAACCAGGCCGGGCCCCACCGCACTCCCGCACGTCCTCGGCCCGGCAGCTCTGAGAAGCCACTGCAGCCGCTTCACCAAGGAAAATAATTGCTTCTGTGCAGTAATTAATATCAAAATGAGAGCGGCAAAGCCACAGCTCCCTGGAGGTTTTGGGCGTGCTTGGAGTTATTCCTGTCCTGCTGCAGGCCTTGGCCAGCACGGGGCAGGGATCCAAGCCCTGGCCACTGGCCATGGGACATGTCCAGACACAGGGAGCCCAGGGCAAGCCAATCCCAGGCTGGCCACAGGCAGAGCACCTTGACTGGGAAGGTTAACTGGTCCAAAGACCATCAAAACTGGTGCGTGAGGCAGGATGGGTGCAGCCTTGTCTCAGGGGAGGGTTCGTTACAGGGTGTACAAGCGCAGAAAGGCAGCACCAAGCAGGTCGTGGCTGCCAGGCACGAGGCCAGAGCAGAAATCCTCCTGTCCTCCCTGCCTGCCAGGGACACCAAGCACGGGGAGGCAGGCAGGGCGCAGGCAGGCAGGGCGCAGCCTCTGGGCACATCGAGGGAGGCTTTCGGTTCCCAGAGATCTTCAGAGGTGGCTCCTGGCTGCATTCCTGGATGCGGAAGGGGAAGTCGCTTCATTTGGGATCTGGATCCTGGTGCCTTTTTTGCAGGACGGACACTTCAGCAGCTGGACTTGCTCTTCACACGAGGCAGGCGGACACGTGGGACTCACAGGCCAGAGACAGGGCCTGGATGGTGCTGGAGGGATCTGGAGCTTGGGGTCCTGATGGAGATAGGATGGAGGAAGCAAAATACCGGAGCTGATGGTGAGGAGGTGGGTGCGCACGGAGCAAGGATGCAGCTACGGCTCTGGGTCCCCTGAGCAGATCCAGGCTCCTCACATTTGGGTGTATCCCACACCACATCCCCCCCCGGACTGTTCCCTTGATCCCTTCCCCAGCTCCTACTCCTGCAGTTTGATTCACAACCTCCATCATCACCCTCGAGGGCAGCTCTTCACCACCAACCTCGGCCAGAGCCAGCTGGGGAGGAGAGAAATGAGTCAAAGGGCAATTAAACATTAACAGCAGGCGGTCACCGCGGGTGGACAGCTCACAAGGCTTCCTTTGTTCCAAAGGGGGGTTTAATTTATAAAAGTAACACAACTTAGAAGGTCACCGGCATCGCTAGACGTGACATGCGTGTGTAATCATCTCCCAACATCCAGTCAGCTCTGTAAACAGACAGGAGACACCCCAAAACCGGCGGCCAGAGTCACCTGAGGAGCAAACAGGAGGGACCGTGCGTGGCGCAAAAGACCCAGAGAGCCCCCAAGCAACCTTTAAACCACTCCAGACACGGAGATCTCACCCTCAAAGTGAAGTGCACCATTCAGCCATGGGATTATTTACCCTCCTCAATGGAAAAAAAAAATACAGAGAAATAGTTCTGAAGCCAGAATTAAGTGGTTTCCTCCACTAGACAAGTGGGGAGGTTTCCAGTGAACTCCACAGTGCTATAAAATGTTTGGAACAAGACGCCGTCAGCGCAACTTGCCACAACTCCAATGCCTGACCTGTGATCTCCCCCAGCCCAGCTTTGAATACATCTGGGAGAGAAAAAAATGGAACTATTTTAGACATTAACCTTTTGTAGCAACATCTCCCCTTGGTTATTTCTACATCAGAGGAGCAAAAAGTGCTTCCCAGCAGGACAGCTTATTTCTTCTTCCCAGAAACCCAGCACCAGAAACCTGAGCAAGAGCAAAATGATACTGGCTTTAAAGTCCCTTTTGCTGCCAAAAAAAGAGGGGGGAGTGGAATCTACTGTCGATTTATTTTATGTTTTGAAGGGGAAACACAGAAAAGCTGCCTTGAAGTGGAAAAAAAAAAAAGAAGATATTGCACTGACCATTGGAGAAAACACTTTTGAACAGGATACCTGTGGGGTGGGGTGAGGACACATAAGCACACACTTATTTGTTCTGTAGCTTAGTGTCCTGACCTTCCCTGCCAAGCTCTAACAGCAGCAAGAAAACAAAATTGGGTCCTGCCAAACCCATGGGAACTCAAGGAGTCTCCCGTTCAGTCTCCCCGAAGAGCCTGGCAGCCGTCACAGCTCCAACCTCCCTCAGGATCACAACGGGCAGATCTTAACCTCTGCAAGCACTTGTTAGGGTGACCAGCAATGCTCCCCTCTAAATCAACGAGGCTAATGCAAGAAAACAACAGCTGTGACTAGGAGGGAGCAACCCACACCCACCCGCTGATCCACAATCGGTACGTGCTGCTGTGAGAAAAGAGTGCTGCGGGAGAACATGCCCCCCCCTGCCCCGTGCCACCCACTTCACCCCACAGAGCTCTTCAGTGTGTGTGAAGCTCAGGAGATGAGGCTGGCTGAGGGGAGGAAGGGCAGAGCTGACAGGCAGCCATCTTGCGGGCTGAACTGCCTCCTCCTTAGGTCAGCACCCTCCTCCTGCCTGTGAATAGCCAGGGCCACCCACACCTGAGGACAGTTCCCCACGGGTGACAGTGGCACCCACCCCAGAGGTCGGCAGGGCTATGACTCATTATAACTGTCACAAAAAATAGGACGGTATTCCCTCTGCAGAGTTGACTAAGTCTAAGAAATACAGATGAATCTAGAAAGAAAGCCTTAAAGCTTCTTCCCTCTTCTCCCTTTCCTTGCTTCACTGAAGCAATCTGATACAAGTGCCTTCTATTTCTTGGTATTTGAGTTCACCTTAGAGAATTAAAGGAAATAAAGTAAACCTTGGTTTTAATAGACCTCTCCTTAATTCTACCACATAATGTAGACTAATAGTGCTTTTAAAGGCAGGGAGAGAGGGAGATGTGCAGCCTTAGGGGCTCTCCCTGACAAGTTGAGCTCAGGGAGATGGAAGGAGGTGGCAGTAGGAGACTCCGTGCTGTGATGAGGAGGTGGGTGCCTGGGGGAGAGCCCCAGTCCTGCCAAAGGGATCATTCTTGGCACCGTGACAGCATGGAGAGGAAGGGGAAAAGGGCTCTTGGAACCAGTTTCTCCCTGCAGTACCAGAGGTTTCCTCAAGCAACTCCCATCTTCCTCCCTGACCCCCATCATCGGGTGTCAGCTGGAAGGAGCCAGCTTTGACCAGGGAGCTGAACCGCCCCAGCACTGGGCTTTCAGCATGCGCAGCCTTGCAGGGGCTGCTCCAGAACCCAGACAGACTGACAAACCCGTTGTCCATCCCGGGCATCCTCCACCCATGACACCAATGCTTTCAGGCACAGTAGCTTTCAGGTCTGATCTCACTCTGCCCTCGCTGCATCCACACATTACAGCCACGCATCCAAACCTCTCCACGGCCGGTAACCTCCAGGAGGTGGAACACAGCCAGGAAGGTGGGGACCTCACTGCTATCAGCACTTAAAACCAACCACGACCTGTGGCCACGGAGGAGGGAGGGCTCTGGGGTTCCTCTCCCCTCCTCAGCTCTCTGCCCCCTTTGCAGCACATCACAAGCACGCTACAGTCGGATGCAGTCCTGCTCCCCTGGACGGTGCCATGCCAGCGGTAAGCGTGAGGAGGAGAGGGGTGCCCCATGGCTGCCCGGGAGCTAGTGGGGAAAAGAGGGGAAGGTTTCCAGCTCTTGAGTGGCTCTGTTCCCTACTTGATGTTTTTGAGAAGCGCGGTCCGGGCGTTCACCACCGCTTTGAAGGCGTCTTCGCTGCCAGGAGCCACACATTTATCAGGGTGGAGCAGCACGGCCAGCTTCCTATAGGCTTTGTTCACTTCGTCCCTAGGAGAGAGGAGATGAGTGAGGGGATCCAAGGGACACAGCCCGGCTCAGCCTTGCCCCAGCTGGCAGAGCACAGCAGGGCCAGGAGCTCCCCCTGTGCTCAACACCCCTGCATAGACACTTTTGAACCCTTCCCTCGCTGGCTCTAAGGACCTCCAGGCTTTGGAGGTGATGCTGTGGAGAAAAGAGGTGCAGAAAAGCACCCAGGGCACTTCTTGGTGTGGCACAAGCAGAGGAGGGGGGAGAACTCCTCTCCTGGGGCAGATACACCCTCTCCACCACAGGACTGTGCCAGCAGGAATGCTCCCATCATGTCAGACACGTGCCTGCAACACGTGCCTTGGTGTGCTGAGTCTCTGGCACCACGAGAGCAGAAAGCTGGGAGACAGCGTGGGGGCACAGGCACCCTGACTCATCAAACCACCTACACACTCCGGGCGAAGGCACTGGCACGTCACTTCAGCCCTTTAAACTCTGGGTGTCTGGTCCAAGGCAGACATCTCAGCTCCAGCTGCAGGCCGAGGGGAAAGGAGGGCACCTCCTGAGGAAGACAAGTCCATCCGTGCTGGTGATCACAGCACAAACTGCCCTGCAGAGCTGCTGATCCCTCCCTGCGGATAAGAAGGGGCTGGAGGAGGGGTCAGGCTCAATACCTACATTTCAGAGAGCCAACAGGAGGATGTACGAGTCCTAAATGATTTCTGTTACCCAAAAATACACTCTCCAGCCCCTCCGCAAGGAGTACACAAGGTCATCCTCGGGTTTCAGAGAGAAGAAAGCAAGGCATAACTCTGGGAGCTTGTTTTAGCTTTAGAGATTCAATATCCAACCTCTTACATAGGAAATGACCAATTTCACCTGGCTAGAGCTCTTCCGAGGGAGACAAGAGAAAGCTTGTCTTGTGGGAGTACTGCTTCCAGGTGGAAGACCTGTAACATCAATCCCTTTTTGATAATGTGGGCAGCAGCCTCACACCAGCTTCTCCAGACCTGGAGAGCACGGAACGTAAAGCTGGAGCTGCTCCAAACATGTCTGGCAAGCGAGGCCCAGAGGCAGGATGCAACCCTGGGCAGCTGGCAGGGCTGAAGTTCTCACATTCATTATTCCCCTCTTGCCTCCAGCTTGACTTGTCAGTTAAAAGGGGAAATTTGGTGCTCAGGACCGAGGGTTTCTTTTGCGTTGCCTCAATTTTGTGGCTAGATACTCGTACCCAGCTGCCATATAAACCAAGGTGAGCTTATCAGCACACAGGTCACTAGAAGACCAGATGCAACCAGCCTGTCAGGTCAGAAAGATTAGAGACAGGCAGGCAAATGCTCAAGTCTTCCTCACCTTGTGGCTCCGGGTTTGAGCCCCAGCATGTCCCAACTGTCCTTGCTGTTGCGGATCCTGCGAATGGCATCAGCCTGCTCTTTGGTGAAGCCGACCCCCACGCTGGAAGGAGGGCGCTTCCCACCGTTGTCACACAGGTCGATGATGGCAGAGTAAAAAGTCTGTGGACACAGGGAGGAGTTAGTGGGAAGGAACTGTCCCCCCCAAAGGTGGTGGCAGCGCACAGGAGACCCCACTGGCCTCGCTGGCTGCGGGCTCATCCTCTCAAGCATTGGGGAGCACTTGGACAACTGCTGGGTGTTCATTCCCCATTGCCTGGGACGTGGGGGGCTGCGATACCCCCAGTGAGGGGGATCCAGTCCCTGCAAGGACCGTGGGGCAGACTGAGAAGGAGGCCAGGCCCCACGTTTATCTCAAACCCATTTCAGTTCCGGGCTGGACCTGAAAATGTGACGTAGGCATCTCTGCATCATGTTCCCAGTGCAGCAAGAGGGATCACAGCTTGAGCAATACAATGCTAGGGCCAGGTCAGGACTAGGAGGACCAAAAGGGAATGGCTTTAAATTGCAACAGAGGAGGTTCAGACTGGACATGAGGAACAAATGTTTCAGAGCAAGAGTGGTCAGAGAGTGGAACAGGCTGCCCAGGGAGGGGGGAGTCCCCATCCCTGGGGGGGTTTCAGGGCCGTTGGGATCAGCTGTGGGGGATGTGGGGTAGGGGAGAACTTTGTAGTCGGGCTGAGGGTTGGACTCGATGATCCTGAGGGGCTTTTCCAACCTGAGTGATTCTGGGATTCTGTGTAATGCTGATCCTGAGCTAAACAGCTATGGCTTTCTCAGGGTGACATTTCGCTAGGAAGACACCTCTGGGGCAGAGGGCCAACGGGTTTTGTAGGATCCAGGCAGTTCAGGGGACACTCTGCCATCAAATCCTGGCTCAGCGTGGTGTCTCTGCCCTCAGCACCTTCACTACACCTCACCTGAAACATCTCGTTGATTCCTTCTCCTGTTTGTGCCGATGTCTCAAAGTAAAGAAAGCCCCGGCTCTCTGCCCAGAGCCGCCCCTCGCTTTCATCCACGCTGCGGTGCTTGGTGCAGTCGATCTAGACCGGGAGAAAAGGCAGAAGTCAGAGCCATGCTCTGCAGTGCCAGCTGGAGGAACAAAGCTCCAAGGCTGATCACCAAACAGCGGTTAAGGGACAGGTCTGGTTGGAGAGGCTGTTTGCTTATCCTGAAGGGATGGAGGCAGCATGGAAAGAAAGCACAGAAAATTCAAGTAATAAGGCCTTTGAGAGTTTATCTAGTCCAGAGACAACGTCACCTCTACTTGAACCCTTCCTGACGGATGCATGGCCACCACATTCCCAAAACCCTTGTGAACTGTGGTCTTCTCACACAAGTGTCTGGTTCTTAGAAAATCTTACCTACAACTTAGTAATATTTCCCTTGCTGCAGCTGGAGCTCAGCAGCTTGGGCTCAAGCTGGGAACACGAGCGCTGAGAGCCGGAGATCAGGACCACACCACAGCCTGGCTGCCCACCTTGTTCGCACAGACAACGAAGACAACGTTCTCCATGTTCCCGTGGGGGCCCAGCTCTTGCTTCATCTCAGCCAGCCACGCGTCTAGCGCGTCGAAAGACTCCTTTTGTCCAACGTCATAGACCAGGATGACTCCCTGTGTGTCCTTGTAAAACTCGTTCCTCACCTGCAGGGACAAAGGCATGGCGCTGGCATCAGCAACAGCCAGGCTGAGAGCACACAGCCAGGCAGATTTGGGGGGGATCACCATTTAGATTCTGTGATAAAAGTCTTATCTCCACACAGATCACAAAAAAAGGACACAACCCAAATAATACCATCACTGTGCTGCTAGAGGAGAGCGATCAGCCCAGAAAATACCTTCACATAGAAAAGTCACTAGGTCGAGGGAGGTGAGTCTGCCCCTCTACTCTGCCCTCCTGAGACCCCACCTGGAATATTGTGTCCAGCTCTGGAGCCCCCAATACAAGAAGGATATAGAACTGTCAGAACGAGTCCAGAGGAGGGCTACCAAGATGATCAGAGGGCTGGAACACCTCTCCAGTGAGGACAGGCTGAGAGAGTTGGGCTTGTTCAGCCTGGAAAAGAGAAGGCTCCGGGGAGACCTCACGGTGGCCTTCCAGTACCTGAAGGGTGCCTACAAGAAAGCTGGGGAGGGACTTTTTACAAGGGACTGTAATGACAGGACAAGGAGTAATGAGTGGAAGTTGAGGGAGGGGAGGTTTAGATTAAACAGAAGGAAGAAGTTTTTTACTGTGAGGGTGGTGAGGCACTGGAACAAGTTACCCAAGGAGGTTGTGGAGGCTCCATCCCTGGAAATGTTCAGAGCCAGGTTGGATGGAGCCTTGAGCAACCTGATCTAGTGGGAGGTGTCCCTGCCATAGCAGGGGCGTGGAACTAGACAATCTTTGAGGTGTCTTCCAACCCAAACCATTCTATGATTCTGTGAAAAGCACAGATGCACAACAGCAGATGAGGTGTCAGACCAACTCCTGGGGAGACTGGAAGGTCTGGGAGTTGACTGAGACACCCACGTGCATCCCTGTGCGTGAGGCAGCAGGGGAGAGCAAGGATCCAGGGCCACCACAGGACAGACTGCATGTCTGAGCCCAGCTACTGGAGGGATCTGCAGGACATCTGCCTGTCTGCGCATGTGGGTGTGCATAAGGGGGTCTGTACCAGCAGCTGGAGTGGGACTGCAGCCCCTGGGGCTTGTATGCCCAGTGCCAGCAACTGGGGAGATAGAGGAACTCCAGGACAGCTGCTGGATGAGGGTCTAAGGTCAGCTACAGGACAGCCATTGGAACAAAACAGACTGTTTCAGTTGGAAGGGACCTACAAGGATCATCCAGTCCAGCTGCCTGACCACTTCAAGGCTGACCAAAAGTTCAACCATGTTATCAAGGGAATTGTCCAAATGGCTCTTAAGCACTGACAGGCTTGGGGCATCGACCACCTCTCCAGGAAGCCTCTTCCAGGGTGTGACCACCCTCTCAGTAAAGGAACGCTTCCTCACGGCCAGTCTGAACCTCCCCTGGTGCAGCTTTGAACCATTCCCACACGTCCTGCCACTGGATCCCAAGGAGAAGAGCTCAGCACCTCCCTCTCCACCTCCCTTGCTCAGGAAGCTGCAGAGAGCAACAAGGTTGCCCCTCAGGCTCCTTTTCTCCAGACTAGACCAACCCAGAGACCTCAGCTGCCCCTCACAGGACATTCCTTCCAGCCCTGTCACCAGCTTGGCTGCCCTTCTCTGGATGCATTCAAGAACTTTCCCATCCTTCTAAAATGGTGGGGCCCAGCCACACACAGTACTCAAGGGGAGGCCACACCAACGCTGAACACAGTGGGACAATCCCCTCTCTTGGCCACTGGCCATGCTGGGTTTGATGCCCCCCGGGACGTGGTTTTCCCTCCTGGCTGCCAGGGCAAGCTGCTGGCTCCTACTGAGCTGCTGCCAACCGGCACCCACAGAACCCTTTCTGCAGGGCTGCCACTCCTCTCCCAGTTTAGACTTGTGCCTGGTGGGTTTTATTTTGGTTTTATTTTTCCACATTTACTTACATTTTAGTCTAAAACAAATTATACATCTGAGACATACTACACATTCACATTAAATGCTGAAAATACAAAGCCAAAGCAGCATCAGTTTTCTGTCTTGTCACTCTTCAATAAGTATTTGCCACATATTTATTCACCAAACTGACAGTTTAAGCCCATTACACTTTCCAGGGACTCAAAGTCTTTCTCTTCTCCATTGTCTCATAAGGATTGGCCGTGGCATAGCCAGAAAGTCAACACACATGAGCAGCTCCTATATCTGCAAGCAGTAACTGTGCTAGAAAGAACTCTACTGACCATATCTGTATCAAATGCGGGTCTTCACAGTCCTCTGCCCCTCAATTTCTTTATGCTGTCAGCTGTTCCCCAATCTCCCTGCTTTCTGCTGTATTCGAGGCTATTCTTAATTAATTACATTTCACTGGTTACTTGTACTGTATCAAGACTACACACAAATAACACTGAAACATTTCTACACACAAATAACATTGAAATCCTTGTTGTGCCCAAAACCTCACAGCAAGCAACAAGCAAATCCTGAGAACACAAGAGAGGAATAAAAGGCTTACGAGCAACCAGATAAATAATTGTAAATAGCCAGGCAGTCACTGGCCAGTATAAACCATTACATTGTTGTCTCACTCTTTTGCCCTCACTCATTTTCAGTTATGTCATGCTAGTATTTGTCATGTTACAAACTGCTCTTTCCTGACATTCTATCCATTTTTATTAGTCACAGAATGATGTTCATTCAGCAGCATGTTCATAATGAAGAATTAGTATGCACTCCACTGTTAAAACAACAGGATTATAAAGAATAAGCATTTAATGTTCCTTTCTTCCACTTGTGGGCTCACTTTATTACTTTGTCTATAATTTAAAATAAACATGATCACAATCACTCCTTTGTGCCAGCTCTCCGAAATGGATGTTGTAGTCTGTGTGTTCAAATCCTGAAGTTTTATCCTGCAAGCTCCTTTTTGTAAATAGTACTGTTTATTATTTGTATAGTAAATAATTCTAGAATGGAATGGAGTATTTCAGTTGGAAGGGGCCTGTAACAATCACCTAGTCCAACCGTAAGTATTTTTACTGCACTTTGGTCATGGATTACAATGCCAGTATTGTATAAATGCCCAAGGTAAGCTCCAAACATCTCCCAATCTGAGTTAAAAAAAAAAAAAAAAAATCAAGATGGGCAGATTCATAAGCACAAGGAGCCACTTGAAACAGGGCTAGCAACATAAGTGGCAGCTTGTAAAAGCCAAACCTTACACTCATGGTTTATGAGGAAGTTTGGGGGTTATTCTATCAGAGTTGTTTGTGGCCTTTTAAGTTTCAGTTTTAATAATTTTGTTTTCCTTCTGAACAGCCAGAGAGACCAAGATGAGGCCACTGGTGCTGGCTGTTTCTCTCTGCGTTAATCTGCACAGCCAGCCACGAACATACATATATATGTCTTGTATAGGTGTGTCTGTGTGTGCCTACCGGGGACACACACTCCGCCTTGCTACTGCCCGGCCCTCTGACTACGGAGCTGTGGAAACCTCACCCCTGTCAGGCTCCTGGATTCAGCAAGCCCTAGCAGCAGGGAGTTTCCAGAGCTGACAGAAAGGCAGCAGGAGTTTCCAGTGCTGGCCTGCATTAGGTGTCCATGGTGGGAAAGAAAGTGGTGTATTGTAGCAGAGGAAGCTCCTAAGATTTCTTTTTCAAGTTTCCCACTGCCAAAACCAATTCCAGGCAGATCTGAGGAAAGTTGATGGGTGTTGAATACTTCTGAGCTGGGCTAGCTGAGGGAAGCCCTGCGGCATGCTGCCTGGAACCACGTCTGCCTTACCTCGTAGAAGAATGGGTGCCCCGCCATGTCAAAGATGTTAACCTTGATCTCTCGATCTCTGACCTGCACCCTGAAAGACAAGTGGGAAATGCTTGAGAGGGCTCCAGCTCAGCCCTTGCACAGGCTGTGCCCCACAGGAACACCCCTTATCTCTGCAGAGAGAGAGCTGGGTGATCAGGCACAGAAAAAAAAAACATTAAGAAGTTCCAAAAGCTGGGGTTTAACAGCCAGAAAACTGCCCCTAGAGCCAGTCAGACGTGGAGGACAGCACCAGCTCTGGATATAGCATGGTAACGGTGAGCTGCACAGATTATTTTATTATTAAAGCAGAAATGTAGATTATGCCATGGAAACTAAGCAGCCTTGACAGAGCCAAGTACACCTGGCTCGGGGCAGTGTGCTCACTCAAGAGCAGCAGGAAGTGAAACAACCCACTCAATGGCCTCGAGTTGTGCCAGGGAAGGTTTAGACTAGATATTAGGAAGCATTTATTTCCAGAAGGGGTTGTTCGGCTTTGGCATGGGCTGCCCAGGGAGGTAGTGGAGTCCTCATCCCTGGAAGTGTTTAAGAGTAGAGTCGACATAATGCTGAGGGATATGGTGTAGTTGGGAACTGTCAGTGTTAGGTTAATGGTAGGACTGGATGATCTTCAAGGTCTTTTCCAACCTAGACGATTCTGTGAACCCCACTGTACCTCTACCCTCTGCCTCTGCGGAGACCAGTGACTCCCAGAGACACCTCTCCCAGGCCCCGGAAGACCCACGCCTGCCATCTGCAGCCACGTGGCTCATCCCACTCTCCCGACACTTGTGGCTCCTCACCACGAAGGTACTTACTTGGTGACGCCATAGTCGATACCAATAGTCGCCAGGTATTTGGGAACGAACCTCTTCTCACAGTAACGCTTTATAATGCAGCTCTGGGAGAAAAGAAAAGGGAGTTTCAGCAGGATGGCACCATACACCGTCACAGTCACATTAATAGGGAATTCACCCACAGTCCCCAGCCAGCTGGATGGCTGCAGAGACACCAACTCTGCCTTAAGTCCCTAAACTAGCTAATTAACCTACAACCAATGCACCAATCTTTACCAGAGCAGCTGCTTTCTGCAAAAAAGAAGAAAAAGCCACTGTGTCAGTTATTCCTTACCTACTTGGAGATTAGAGCAACAAGAAACTGATTTATTCCCCTCCAGAAAACATCCACCCTGGAGGAGCTGTGTGCTCAAGGAGCTTGGCAGCAGTCAGCTCCCCAAAAGCCACCAAGAACATTTTGGCAGCCTGAAAAGCACGTTCAGGGTCACACCAGGTCCCTCCAGCCCTGGTTCTGCCCCTGACTGGCAAAGATACTGTTTAGGGAGAGCAGAGGAGTAGGCTGCTATCAGCTGTCTAGAGATAAATCCTGTAAGGTTGTCACCAGTCACCTCTTTGCCCACTCACTCCATCCTGCAAGATCCTTCTGGATTTTCTTGCCATCAGGGAGGCATTTGTCTGCCCCAAGGGAGTCCTCGTGCATCAGTGGTTTAACAGGACTTACATTTATTAAGCAAACAAAAGAAGGGGCTGCACTTGAACAGAACCTGGCTGGGAGAAGAAATAACTTCTCGGAGAAGAGCTGGGTCACTCACACAGCAGGAGGAAGGGGGGTTCCTGAGGAAGCCCGATAGCCAAACTGGGGAGGGATGGGATTCCCCCAGCAGCTCTCGAGGACGGCACCAAGGGCTGGTTCCCCCCTTTCTTCCCTCAGGCGCTGCACTGAGGTGTCCGTGGCTGGAGCACGGTCGTGCGGGCTCGCTCTGAAGGAAGCGGACACGGGAACGGGTGTCCCTCAGCAGGCGGCTCACGGAGGGACCCACCCCAGAGAGGAGGGGAACGCTCTGGGGCCCGTGGCACCGCGGGCCGGCCCCTGCCCACCCATGCCCTGTCTCTTATA